TGAAACAGCATTCAAAAGAGCTGACTAAGGGAAAGAAAAGATTGCTGGACAGGTGTAGGGTTGGATTCCAGTTGAGGCTGGGCACCGTAATTATTACACATTGATCAGTCATGTTTCTGTGAGCCTGTGTGTTTCCTGGATGGTAAACTTTCAGAGGATAAAGACTGTTTGGTATCCTTCGGCTTTTGGTTTTGTTTTGTTTGTTTTGTTTCCTTTTGTTTTGTTTTTGTAATCCCAAAATGCTGGGAATTACAGGTGTGAGCCACCGTGCCTTTCAAATAACACTATACTATTTTATAGGTAGTACAGACATCTTATAATAACAGAATATTATTCTTCCCTCCTGTCCTTTGTATTCCTGCCATCATTCATTCAACTTACACATAAGCATATATAATCAAATACAGGTATTGATCGACTTACGACCTATGCAACTTACGACCACAATCGCTAGCCACGACTGCTCCGCATCTGGCAGCGCAAACGTGGCCCAGCTGGGTGTACGACAGTGCGGACCAGCTTCAGGCAGCACTACCATCTCCGCATGCATATAGCCTACTCAACTTACGACCAAATCGTGTTACGACCGGTCTGTTGGAACCAATCCTGGTCGTAAGTCGAGCACTAGCTGGATACATTGTTACTATTATTATTTTGAACCAGTGGTTATCTCTTAGGTGGATTAAGAATAAGAAAGAGGCTGGATGTAGTGGTTCATGCCTGTAATCCCAGCACTTTGGGAGGCTGAGGCAGGAGTGCTTGAGGCCAAAAGTTCAAGACTAGCCTGGGCAACATAATGAGACCCTGTCTCTACAAATAATTAAAAAATAAGAATTAGCTGGGCATGGTGGTGAACACCTGTAGCCCTAGCCACTTGAGGGGCTAAAGTGGGAACCCAAAAGATCAAGCCTGCAGTGAGCTATGATCTCACCACTGCCCTCAAACCTGGGCAACAGAGTGAGACCTTGTCAAATAAATAAATAAGAAAAGTAAGTTTTTATTCTACCTTCACTTACTCATTCTTTGATGCACTTCCTTTCATTATGTAGATCAGAGTTTCTGACTTATACCATTTTCCCTCTCTGCAAAGAATTTCTTTTAACATTTCTCGGGCCGGGCGCGGTGGCTCAAGCCTGTAATCCCAGCACTTTGGGAGGCCAAGGCGGGTGGATCACGAGGTCAAGAGATCAAGACCATCCTGGTCAACATGGTGAAACCCCGTCTCTACTAAAAATACAAAAAATTAGCTGGGCATGGTGGTGTGTGCCTGTAATCCCAGCTACTCAGGAGGCTGAGGCAGGAGAATTGCCTGAACCCAGGAGGCGGAGGTTGCGGTGAGCCGAGATCACGCCATTGCACTCCAGCCTGGGTAACAAGAGCGAGACTCCGTCTCAAAAAAAAAAAAAAAAAAAAAAAAAAACATTTCTTGTAAGGCAGGTCTATTGACAACAAATTCCCTCAATTTTTGTTTGTCAGAAAATTTTTATTTCTCCTTCACCATTGGATAGTTTCACAGGTTATAGAATCCTGGGTTGGTGGCTTTTTTTCCTCTCAATACTTTAAATATTTCACTTCACTTTCTTCTTGCTTACGTAGTTTCTGAGAAGTGTGATGTCATTCTCATCTTTGCCCCCTATAGGTAAGATGTTTTATCCCCTGGCTTCTTTCAAGATTTTTTTTTCTCTTTAATTTTCCGAAGTTTGAATACAATATGCCTGGTTATAGGGGTTTTTGGGGTTTTGTTTGGCTTGGCATTTATCCTGCTTGGTGTTCCCTGAGCTTCCTGGATCTGTGATATACTGTCTGGCATTAATTTAGAAAAATTCTCAGTCCCTATTGCTTCAAATATTGCCTCCGTTCCCTCCTCTCTTTTCTCCTCCCTCTGATTTTCACATTATTCATATATTATGCATTTTGTAGCTGTCCCATGATTCTTGCGCTTTCTGTTTTGTTTTTCTCAGTCTTTTATTTATTCTTTTCACTTTTAGACGTTTCTATTGACGTAGCCTCAAGATTTAGAGATTCTTTCTTCAGCCATCTCCAGCCTACTAATGAGCTCATAAAGGCATTCTTCATTTCTTTTAGTGTTCCTGCTACAATCCTTACCCAAAAAAATGTGGTCTCTAGCAATTCTTTTGTATTTTCTTAGAATTTCTATCTCTCTGCCTACATTATTCATTTGTTCCCGCATGTTGTCTACTTTTTACATTAAAGCCCTTAGCATATTAATCATAGTTTTAAAAAATTCCTGTTCTGGTCATTGCAACATTCCTGCCATATGTGACTCTAGTTCTGATGCCTGTTCAGGCTCTTCAAACTGTGCTTTTTGCTTTTTCTTTCTTTTTTTTTTTTTTTTTTTTTTTGAGACGGAGTCTCACTTTGTCACTCAGGCTGGAGTGCAGTGGCATGATCTCGGCTTACGGCAACCTCTGCCTCCCGGGTTCCAGCAATTCTCCTGCCTCAGCCTCCCAAATAGCTAGGACTACAGGCACATGCCACCACACCTGGCTAATTTTTGTATTTTTAGTAGAGACCGGGTTTCACCATGTTGGTCAGGCTGGTGTTGAACTCCTGACCTCAAGCAGTCCACCCACCTCAGCCTCCCAAAGTGCTGGGATTATAGGCGTGAGCCACCACGCCAGGCCTGCTTTTTGCCTTTTAATGTGCCTTGTAATTTTTTTGTTGAAAGATGGACATGCTATACTGGGTAAAAGGAACTGCAGTAAACAGGCCTTTAGTGATGGTAAGGTATGGGGCAGTGGAAGCATTCAATAGTCTATGACTAGGTCTCAGCCTTTTAGTAAACCTATGTCCCTGGACCCTGGACTACAAAATTCACCAATGTTTCTCAGTTTCTACCGCTCCCATCCTCTTGCCACTGCATCCAGCCTGGGCAACAGAGCAAGACTCTGTCTAAAAAAATAAAAAGTAAAAAAAAGTTTCTCCTAAGGCAATCCTTGTTAAGAATACTCTAGCATATTTCAAAATGGTTCCTTTTCCTTCCCCATCCCAGAAGCATGAGGAGATTTTTCTCTGATATTCTTTGTACCTAGTAGAGTTCCTGAAAGTAAAACTCACAAAAGTGTGAGGACTGCCCCCATGACGGGGTCCCCTTGGAGTTTTATCTCTCTCAGGCAGGTCACATTTTGCCTCCTGCTGCTCATCAAGGCTTTCCTACCCCAATACAGATTCCCGAGGAAATGTGTGTTCACGGGTTTCTGGTCTGGTAAATTATGACTCTCTGTATCTACCTGTCTGTTCCTCCAATTTTAGCAGCCGTGGTTTTGCCCTATGACTGGATTTCTCTGACAGATCTAAAAAGAGTTATTGTTTTTCCATTTGTTCAGCTTTTTGCTTGTTAGAATAAAGACTTCTAGGCTGGTGCGCTGGCTCACGCCTGTAATCCCAGCACTTTGGGAGGCCGGGGCTGGTGAATCACCTGAGGTCAGGAGTTCAAGACCAGCCTGGCCAACATTGCAAAACCCTGTCTCTACTAAAAATACAAAAATTAGCCAGGTGTGGTGGTAGGTACCTATAATAACAGCTACTTGGGAGGGTGAAGCAGAAGAATCGTTTGAACCCAGGAGGTGGAGGTTGCAGTGAGCTGAGATTGTGCCACTGCACTCCAGCCTGGGCAACAAGAGCAAGACTCTGTCTCAAGAAAAAAAAAAAAAAAAAAAAAGAATAAAGACTTCTAACCTCCTTACATGTTGGACAGAAATTGGAAGTCCTTTGTGTGCTTTCCAACCTTGCTGGGCCCCAGCCTGTTTCTGTTGCAATGGGCAATGCCCAGAGAAGAACTGCTAGGTAGACTTTTTTTTTCTTTTCTTTTTTTTTTTCTTTTTGACAGAGTCTCTCTCTGTCACCCAGGCTGGAGTGCAGTGGCATGATCTCAGCTCATTGCAACCTCCGCCTCCCAGGTTCAAGAGATTCTTCTGCCTCAGCCTCCTGAGTAGCTGGGATTACAGGTGTACGCCACCATGCCCTGCTAATTTTTGTATTTTATTAGTAGAGACGGGGTTTCACCATGTTGCCCAGGCTAGCATTCACTTGTTTTTATTTAACAACTATTTATTATGTGCTCACTGCGGTGTTAGGCCCTGTTCTGGTGCCAGGGATGTGGCAGTGAACCAGACAGATAAAAGTCTTATTCTCAAAATGAAAGGACTAGGAACGACCAGTTCACTAATAAACTTCTACAGATGCTGTAGTCCCAGGCAGCAGAGCTTTCTAAACACACAGGCCTAGTACATGAAGGGGATTCCAATGTAGGAGGCAAAACAGGTCCCTTAGTGGATACTGATCACAGCCACCTTGGCCGCAGTCACACCACCCCCAACGCCTGCCCTGCAATGTAATAATTGGAGTGATCTACTTCCAAGGAAAGGGGCTGGGTATGGAGGCTCATACCTATAATCCCAGCACTTTGGGAGGCCGAGGAGGGTAGATCACAAAGTCAGGAGTTCAAGACCAGCCTGGCCGAGATGGTGAAACCTCGTCTCTACAAAAATTAGCCAGGTATGGTGGCAGGCGCCTATAATCCCAGCTACTTGAGAGGCTGAGGCAGGAGAATCGCTTGAACCCAGGCGGCAGAGGTTGCCAAGAGATCACTCCACTGCACTCTAGCCTGGGTGACAGAGTGAGACCCTGTCTCAAAAAAAAAAAAAAAAGATGACTGGGGTTAAAAATTCCCAGCTGCAGCCTTTTCATCTGGGCACCACAAACACAGCAGTTCCAGGAGCAAGAAACTAGCTTGGCATCAACTCAGCATCCCTACTGAATGGCATCAGGAAAATTCAGTGTGCCTGCAGATTTTTGAAGGATGTACTTTGCAATTCCCCTGATGTAATAAGAAAATACTATTTTAAAATTTTTATTTTGTTTATAATCTAACCTGAAGGTATTAGGGAGGCATGAAGAGGCTTGGTTGGTACTTAAAATAATCTATTAGAGCTTTAGAAATGAAATTAATGTTTTCATCTTGGTCATATGTTTCACAGGCTCAGAAAAAATGTCTGAATCAGACTTCCCCCATTTCTGCTCCCAAGACCACAGACGGCCTGAGGCAAGCACAGATCCCTGGGCTCTTGAGCACCGCACTGCCAGGTCAGGAGCTTCCTCAGTTTGTCCCTGTCCTCCCGATACCCATGGGACGCTCTTCCCACTCTTCTCCCTCATTCTGCAAGAAAGCTTTCTGGCTTAATCTCGCCTCCACTCTGATTATTCCTTTTTTCCGTATCCTTTCCGCACAGATAATATACTATGTTGCATCAGCTCTAAGATAACATCAATTGTAAGATGTACTATCATTTTTTATACTACCAAAAAGAAAAAAAAAGCACTTCTAACTAAATTATGACACATTAAATTATGTGGTGAAAAAAATGCTTCTTAGAAACAATGAATTTGGGCCGGGTGTGGTGGCTCACACCTGTAATCCCAGCACTTTGGGAGGCTGAGGTGGGCAGATCACAAAGTCATGAGTTCAAGACCAGCCTGGCTGACATAGTGAAACCTGTCTATACTAAAAATACAAAACTTAGCCGGGCATGGTGGCACAGCTACTTGGGAGGCTGAGGCAGGAGAATTGCTTGAACCCGGGAGATAGAGGTTGCTGGGAGCCAAGATCACGCCACTGCACTCCAGCCCGGGCAACAGAGTAAGACTTCATATCAAAAAAAAAAAAAAAAGAAAGAAACAATTAATTCGGTATTTGTCGGGGAGAGGTGGTTCACACCTGTAATCCCAGCATTTTGGGAGGCCAAGGCAGGTGGATCACTTGAGGTCAGGAGTTTGAGACCAGTCTGGCCAACATGGTGAAACTCCATCTCTATCAAATAGTACAAAAGTTAGCCGGGGTGCAGCAGCACGCACCTGTAGTCCCAGCTACTCGGGAGGCTGTGGTGGAAGAATCACTTGAACCTGGGAGGCGGAGGTTGCAGTGAGCCAAGATCACACCACTGCAGTCCAGCCTAGGTGACAGAAAAAGACCCAAAAAAAACTTTTTTTTAAGGTATTGTATAGTGCTTGTGACTTTGTAATTATCCCCGTTATGTTGCTTTCTATATGCATATTTGGAATTATCCACCCAGACGGAAAATATTATGGACTATGTCTTCCATTTTTCCTAAGGCTTTGAACATCTGTGGTACCCAATTAGTGCTTTTAAAAAATGCAAGAAAGAAAGAAATTTAAATATTCCCAGTCAATTGCCTCTTTGGCTCTTTGGGCTTCCCTTTCCTTAAATTGTACTTTGGGGTTCTGTAATGCTGACAGATTACTGGCATGAGGCCTGTTTTTCAGACTAAAGCTAACTTGAAACTATAGAATTTAGAGCTTCTATTTATTACTATTTACTTGTTTATTACTTAAATAGGCTTTAATAACCTCTTCCTTTAGAGCTTGTAAATAAATGCACCCCGCCCTCCTTCCTCACAGCAAGGATCCATGATAAAGAAACCCATTTCAGAATGCTCAGCAGTCTGTACCCATTGGGCTCTAGGGTTATATGATGGACCCAGTTTACTGTTTCTTTTGAACACTATCTTATGTATTCTAATAGGACAGGATTCTGGAAGCAAAGTTATATCGGCGTCCTTAGGAACCGCACCACCACAGCAGGAAAAAGTAGTTGGATCACCTCCTGGCCATCCAGCTGTGCAGGTAGAAAACTATTGGCATGGCCTCTTCCTAATGTTTAGCATAATGGAATGAAAATGTAGTTGTGTCATGTTGCTGGCTAGTGTTGTGTGCACAGTCCACCCGGTCTCCTGTGTGCCCACAACAGGGTGGTCACTGAAGACCTTCCAGGTGGGCTGGGCCTTGTAATGTTTATGTTTCTGAGGTGAATGTCTGTTCTATTTCTGGCATGTTTATAGTGCTTCATTAATCCACCATTTCCTCATGAATTAGTAATATGCCAGCAGCTAGTACATACTAGGCACTCAAAAAATGTCATTTACTATTGGGTGGTATCGTTCACTATTATGTCAAAGTGGACCTGTTCTTAGTTATGCTGAGGGACTTTTTTTTCTGTAGTAGTAACCGGAAGTATAGGAGGTAGGCAGTCCCTACAGTCTTTTGACCCAACTTTGACACTTTTTTAAGTCCAACTTGTTGTTTTTTGTTTGAGACAGGGTCTCCCTCTGTCACCCAAGCTGGCATGCACTGGGATGATCACAGCTCACTGGAACCTCAACCTCCCAGGTTCAAGTGATCCTCCTGCCTCAGCCTCCTGGGTAGTTAGGACAACATGCAGCTACTTTTTTGTGTTGTTTGTAGAGAAAGGATTTTGCCACATTGTCCACGCCTGTCTCAAACTCCTGAGCTCAAGCCATCCACCTGCCTTGGCCTCCGGAAGTGCTTAGATTACAGGCATGAGCCACTGTGCCCCACCTAGTCCAGTTTTTTCTTTTAGTTTTTCTGTTTTATTTTGTTTTGTTTTGAGTTGGAATCTCGCCCTGTCACCCAGACTGGAGCACAGTGGTGTGATCACAGCTCAATGAAGCCTTGATCTCCTGGGCTCACGCGATCCTCCCGCCTCAGCCTCCTGGGTAGCTGGGACTCCAGGCAAACACCACCATGCCTGGCTAAGTTTTTTATATTTTTAGCAGAGAAAAGGTTTTGCCATATTGGCCAAGCTGGGCTCAAGCAATTCTCTCACCTCAGCCTCCCAAAGTGCTAGGATTACAGGCTAAAGCCACCCTGTTTTTTTTGTTTGTTTGTTTGTTTGATACATGATAGATGTACCTATTTTCAGGGCATATCCAATAACTTCAACTTTGGCTTTTAAATCTAAAAGATTTCAAACTAGTAGTCTAAAAAGGAAGAAAACATTTCTTGTTTTCAGCTTACTAAGACTGTAGTTTCTTCTCCATCAGACCTACCAATTAGTAGTTTACTAAAACTTGCTGCAGTGTGGGACTGCCTAGAATACACAGTGAAGACTGTTCAGTTCTAAGGTTCTGAGATAAGGCATAAAAAAAGATGTAAGGCCGGGCGCGGTGGCTCAAGCCTGTAATCCCAGCACTTTGGGAGGCAGAGGCAGGTGGATCACGAGGTCAAGAGATCGAGACCATCCTGGTCAACATGGTGAAACCCCGTCTCTACTAAAAATACAAAAAATTAGCTGGGCATGGTGGCGTGTGCCTGTAATCCCAGCGACTCAGGAGGCTGAGGCAGGAGAATTGCCTGAACCCGGGAGGCGGAGGATGCGGTGAGCCGAGATCGCGCCATCGCATTCCAGCCTGGGTAACAAGAGCGAAACTCCTTCTCAAAAAAAAAAAAAAAAGATGTAAAAAATGCCCCTTTAGATCACACACCTGGACTATATGTAACAAGGAACTTAAAAGTGTGTACATCCTGTACTTATCCCTGAGAAGATGGATTAGATAGTATCTACTGACTTTTCAGATGTTTGTGGAATTTCAAAAATAGAACAATGGGTTGACGGAGTAGCTCACACCTGTAATCCCCACACTTTTGGGGAGGCCAAGGTAGGCAGATGGCTTGAGTCCAGGAGTTGGAGACAAGCCTGGGCAATATGTCAAAACTCCGTCTCTACAAAAAAATACAAAAAAAATTAGCAGGCATGGTGGTGCAGACCTGTAGTCCCAGCTACCTGGGAGGCTGAGGTGGAAGGATCGCTTCAGCCTGGGAAGCAGAGGTTGCAGTGATTGTGATTGTACCACCACACTCCAGCCTGAATGACAGAGCAAGACCCTGTCACACACAAAAAAAGACGATTATAATAACGATGATGATGCATTTAGAGAGGAGTTAGGGATTCAGGCTTTAAAGTGCAAACTGAGGGGGCCTGGGGCGAGCGCGCCTGCGCACTGGGCAGCCTTTTCACGTGTCGCAAGGGCCTTATTGCGGGTCTCTCCTTGCCGCGGTGTGCCAGAGCAGAGTACGAGTCTGAGGCTGAGGAAGTCATGGCAGGACAGGCGTTAAGAAAGTTTCTCCCACTCTTTGACCGAGTATTGGTTGAAAGGAGTGCTGCTGAAACTGTAACCAAAGGAGGCATTATGCTTCCAGAAAAATCTCAATGAAAAGTATTGCAAGCAATAGTAGTCGCTGTTGGATCGGGTTCTAAAGGAAAGGGTGGAGAGATTCAACCAGTTAGCGTGAAAGTTGGAGATAAAGTTCTTCTCCCAGAATATGGAGGCACCAAAGTAGTTCTAGATGACAAGGATTATTTCCTATTTAGAGATGGTGACATTCTTGGAAAGTACGTAGACTGAAATAAGTTACTATTGAAATGGCATCAATGTGAAGCTGCCCATTCCACTGAAGTTCTGAAATCTTTCATCATGTAAATAAATTCCATATCTCTCTTTTATAATAAACTAATGATCACTAATGACAAAAAAAATAAAGTGCAAACTGAGTCCTTTTCAGGAACTGATTATACAGCTTTCTGTAATCTCAACACAGTATAGCTTTGCTTTCTGGAGTCTGTGCACTGTTTTTGTTTGTTTGTTTGTTGGATTGCTTGTTTGTTTTCCCAGCAGGGCACATTCTATAGTCTTAGAATATGTTCTTGATAGGTAGTTGAAAATATGTGAATTATAGTAACCTTTATGTATAACTGTATTCGTTTTTCTACAACAGGGAATAATAAGAGGTATGTTTTGTCTTTAGGTGGAGAGTCATTCGGGAGGACAAAAGAGGCCTGCTGCCAAACAGCTAACTAAAGGAGCCTTGTGAGTTACTGACAAATCGATTCTGAACATTTCTCTGGGTCCCTAACCTTCAGTAAATATACTACAGAAGTCAGAATATAATAATGAGCATATTAGCCTTTTTAAAAATATACTTTGGGGCAGGGCATGGTGGCTCACGCCTGTAATCTCAGCACTTTGGGAGGCTAAGGGAGGAGGATTGCTTGAGCCCAGGAGTTCAAGTGAACCCTGGGCAACATGGCAAAACTCTGTCTCTACAAAAAATACAAAAATTAGCCAGTCGTGGTGGTACATGCCTGTAGTCCCAGCTACTCGGGACTGAGGTGGGAGGAGGGCTTGAGTCCTGAGGTGGAGGTTGCAGTGAGCTGAGATTGTGCCACTGCACTCCAGCCTGGGTGACAGAGAAAGACCCCATCTCAAAAAAAAAAGTACTTTGAAAATATTTTTCTATACTTCATTTTCATTAGAACTTATAAATATATCAAATGTAGTTTTGCCTCTACTGTTTGCTCTTTTCTTCTTAAGGAGAATAGTTCTTTGACTTTTCGGAAACAGAGCGTCTTTGAGGAAAAGCATGGTTTGGTAAACTTCCATGTTTAGAACAGAAATGTTAGCATGAGCTTAGTTGCCAATGGTCAGGCACTGGCAAGGTTTATGGGGGTGTCAACACATAAATGGTTGGTGGGAACCTGTGCTTTTGAGGTCAGGATCATAGTTTGAGTCCTCTGTGGAGCTAAACTGAGCTATCAACCCACTATGGTATAAAAAATATAAAACTGAAGAAAAAACTGCCGTACTATTCCTGTATATCTTATTTTCTTTACATTCAAATAAATGTGATTAGATTTGACTTCCTAACATGACTCTACATTGACATTGGCCATTTCTCTTGTAAAGCATTCTCCAGCAGTTGCAGAGGGACCAAGCCCACACTGTGACACCGGACAAAAGTCACTTCCGATCACTAAGTGATGCGGTACAGAGACTGCTCTCCTACCACGTGTGCCAGGGCTCCATGCCTACTGAGGAAGACTTGAGGAAAGGTAAGCAGGCCGGAACCCTACAGCACCACTCTGAAACCAGGCACCCTCCCATGACCACCCCCCAGAAGAGCAAGAGCCACATCACCCCCAGATGGTAGGCAGGTTATTGTTTTTAATCACAGACCAAACTTGTTCCCTATTTACCTAATTTCCCAGTTCGTGTTTAAGGTTGTGACTTACACTAAATAATATTTTTTGAAGGGAAGCCAGGTGCAGGGGCACACACCTGTAGTCCCAGCTACTCAGAAGGCTAAAGCAAGACAGTCACCTGAGCCCAGGAATTTGAGAGTGTGGTGTGCTATGATCACGCCTGTAAATAGCCATTGCACTCCAGCCTGGGTGACATAGGGAGACACTGTCTCTTAAAAAAAATAAAATTGTTAGAAGGATACCCTAATGTCAGAGGTTTTTGTTTGTTTGTTTGTTTGGGTTTTTTTTCGTTTTTTTGAGGCAGAGTCTTGCTCTGTTGCCAGACTGAAGTGCAGTGGCGCCATCTCAGCTCACTACAACTTCCGCCTCCTGGGTTCAAGCGATTCTCCTGCCTCCGCCTCCCAAGTAGCTGGGACTACAGGCACCCACCACCACACCCAGCTAATTTTTGTGTTTTTAGTAGAGACAGGGTTTCACCGTGTTGGCCAAGCTGGTCGCAAACTCCTGACCTTGTGTTCCACCCACCATGGCCTCCCAAAGTGCTGGGATTACAGGCATGAGCCACTGTGCCCGACCAATGTCAGAGTATTTTATTGACAAATTGGTGGCAGTAAATCCAAAACTTTGTATGGACTGCTGGCTCCAGATAAAATGGCTGTGCACTAGACACTCCATACCGTGGTTTGGCATAGTCCTTGCCTTTTTTTTTTTTTTTTTTTTTTTGAGACGGAGTCTCACTCTTGTTACCCAGGCTGGAGTGCAATGGCGCGATCTCGGCTCACCGCAACCTCCGCCTCCCGGGTTCAGGCAATTCTCCTGCCTCAGCCTCCTGAGTAGCTGGGATTACAGGCATGTGCCACCATACCCAGCTAATTTTTTGTATTTTTGGTAGAGACGGGGTTTCACCATGTTGACCAGGATGGTCTCGATCTCTTGACCTCGTGATCCACCCGCCTCGGCCTCCCAAAGTGCTGGGATTACAGGCTTGAGCCACCGCGCCCGGCCCAGTCCTTGCCTTTAGGCAGTATGCATACCCTGAACTGGTTGCTTGGTTGGTTGGTTGGTTTTTGAGACAAGAGTCTTACTCTGTCACCCAGGCTGGAGTGCAGTGGCACGATCTTGGCTCACTGCAACCTCCACCTCCTGGGTTCAAGTGATTCTCCCTGCCTCAGCCTCCTGAGTAGCTGGGATTACAGGCGCGTGTCACCACGCCTGGCTACTTTTTGTATTTTTTAGTAGAGATTGGGTTTCGCCATGTTGGCCAGGCTGGTCTTAAACTCCTGACCTCAAGTGATCAGCCCACCTTGGCCTCTTGAAATGCTGGGATTAGAGGCGTGAGCCACTGTGCCCAGCCAAACTGTTTCTAGTTTTATGAACTAGCTGCTTGAGCTCCCAGAAGTATTCTCCAAGGTTCCAAAATGAGTCCGTGGCATTGGCCACACATCAAGAAACTGACAAAAATGTTAGCTAAGGGCCGAGTGCAGTGGCTCACGCCTATAATCCCAGCACTTTGGGAGACCGAGGGAGCCCGATCACCTCCCTTGAGGTCAAGACCATCCTGGCCAACATGGTGAAACTCTCTCTCTACTAAAAATACAAAAATTAACTGGGCGTGGTGGCGCACACCTTTAGTCCCAGCTACTTGGGAGGCCGAGGCAGGAGAATTGTTTGAACCCAGAGGGCAGAAGTTGCAGTGAGCCAAGATCACACCACTGTACTCCAGCCTAGGTGACAGCAACACTGTCTCAAAAAGAAAAAACAAAATTAGAGACAAGGGCTCCTTCCCCCAACCTGGAACTCCTCCTGTCCCAATACCTGGCCATGCACCTTCCCACCACCGCCACCAAGGCCTGGCTGTATCAGCACCCTGCTCTTTTCTAATCCCTTCCTCAGCTGCTACAAGTCTTGCTCCTTCTAGCAGGGGCCTCTGATCTCTGGGCACAGTGGTTTCTGTGAGTCCACTGTGGGCTTCCCTAGGACACCAGGTAATAGGGTCAAGATCCAGCGTTAAACAGTGGGTGTGAAGACTGAAAGGAAGAGTGAATTAGAAGGTGTTCAAATCTTTGGAGACCAACAGACAGAGGACAGAGCCGCATGACCATGACGGTTTAATATAAAGCTGTGTCTTCATTTGTTTTAGCTATTTTAGTTTTTCATACCATTAGGCTTAGGTCATCTAAACTAGCAGATCATTCTCTATTCATTGATATTTATTGTGAGTCTGTTACATGGTGTTATTTTATAGGTGATATCAAAGTAATTATGTTTTTGGTTTCCTAAAGTTAAAAAAGCTAGTACTGAAATGAGTTCCATGACCTGTGGACAGTGAGGGAAAGCAGTGTAGAAGGATGATGCTTAGCCAGGAAAAGGCTCGTCTAAGAAGAGAAAATTTCCCCAGATAAGCCATGTTTGAATGATGGAAGAGTAATGCATTTCAGTATTAAGAAACAGAAGACCTAGTCAGTGATTTACACTCTCTTACTATTTCTCTCTCTCTCTCTTTTTAAAGTGGACAATGAATTTGAAACAGTTGCCACTCAGCTCCTAAAAAGGACCCAAGCTATGCTTAACAAATACAGATGCCTGCTCCTAGAAGATGCCATGGTAAAAGTCATGTTACTGATACTTGTTTTTTAAAACTTTTTAGGTCACAGCCACTAAATCAGAGATAAAAAGTTCAAGGAATTATAGAATATAATTTAAAAGGCACAGATATTTCACACTGTAGACAGACTTACACTAGGCCAGGTGTGGTGGCTCACACCTATAATCCCAACACCTTGGGAAGCCTAGGCAGGCAGATCACAAGGTCAAGAGATCGAGACCATGTGGCTAACATGGTGAAACCCTATCTCTACTAAAAATACAAAAATTAGCCAAGCGTGGTGACGCCTGCCAGTCCCAGCTACCCCGGAGGCTGAGGCAGGAGAATCGCTTGAACCTGGAAGGTGGAGGTTGCAGCGAGCCAGGATCGCACCACTGGACTCCAGCCTGGTGACAGAGCGAGACTCCATCTCAAAAAAAAAGAAAAAAGAAAAGAAAAACTTATACTTAGCTGCTACAAAACAGCAATGAACATTTGCTGCACTTTACTTGGTGGATCAGTACTATTCTCTTGTTTAACAAATAAGGAAACCAGGGCTTTGGTTAAGTAACTTGCCTGAGATCAGATAGCTAAGAAGTTTGCAGAGTCATTAATAGAGACTCTAATGCCGTCTACCGCCTTTGACCAACCCAGAGATGCGGGAGAAGGACTGGAGGCACATCTGAAAAGATAAGCTGGTGACAAATGTCAGAATTAGTTTTGTTATTAAGAGATCACTGACGTACCATAAAATTAACATTTAAAGTGTACAACTCAGGCCAGGCACGGTGGCTCATGCCTGTAATCCCAGCACTTTGGGAGGGCAAGGCAGGTGGATCACCCGAGGTCAAGATTTCGAGACCAGCCTGGCCAACATGGCGAAACCCTGTCTCTACTAAAAATACAAAAATTATGCCAGGCATAGTAGCTCACGCCTGTAATCTTAGCACTTTGGGAAGCCGAGGTGGGTGGATCACCTGAAGTCAGGAGTTCAAGACCTGGCCAACGTAGTGAAAATCCATCTCTACTAAAAATGCAAGAATTGGCTACTTGGGAGGCTGAGGCAGGAAAACCGCTTGAATCCAGGGGGCAGAGGTTATAGGGAGCAGAGATCACACCACTTCACTCCAGCCTGGGCAAAAGAGTGAATCTCTGTCAAAAAAAAAAAAAAAATTAGGCATGCTGGTGCACACCTGTAGTCCCAGCTACTCATGAGACAGAGGTTGCAGGGAGCCAAGATCGCACCACTGCACTCCAGCCTGGGCGACAAAGTGAGACTTTGTCTCTCTCAAAAATTTTTAAAAGGCCGGCACAGTGGCTCATGCCTGTAATCCTAGCACTTTGAGAGGTCGAGGCAGGTGGATCATGAGGTCAAGAGATTGAGACCATCCTGGCCAACATGGTGAAACCCTGTCTCTACTAAAAATATAAAAATTAGCTTGGTGTGGTGGCACATGCCTGTAGTCCTAGCTACTCAGGAGGCTGAGGCAGGAGAATCGCTTTAACTCGGAATGTGGAGGTTGCAGTCAGCCAAGATCCAGCCACTGCACTCCACTCTGGTGACAGAGTGAGACTGCATCTAAAAAAAAAAAAAAAAAATTGTTTTCGTTTTGACAGCCATTTCTGAAACAAAACTCTGAGACATCAAAAAAGGCCAGCTCCATTGTTTGTGAGGAAAACAATACTGGCCATGAATCTGCTATGAATTTTTTTTTTTTTTTTTTTTTTTTTGAGGAGGGATTTCTCTCTTTTTCCACCCTGGAGTGCAATGGCGCGATCTCGGCTCACCGCAACCTCCGCCTCCTGGGTTCAGACAATTCTCCTACCTCAGCCTCCTGAGTAGCTGGGACTACAGGCACGCACCACCATGCCCAGCTAATTTTTTGTATTTTTAGTAGAGACGGGGTTTCACCATGTTGACCAGGATGGTCTTGATCTCTTGACCTCGTGATCCACCCGCCTCGGCCTCCCAAAGTGCTGGGATTACAGGCTTGAGCCACCGCGCCCGGCTGCTATGAATTTTCATGTTAAATAACACCCAGTCCAATACTAAGTGGAAAAGAAATTTTAAAATAATAATAAAAATAAAATAAAAGACCCAGAAATATAATTTAAGATTTTATTCTGTTAATAGCAAAAGCTTTAATAAAAAGGAAAGCTTTACTAAAAACACAATTAAGGCATAGCGGAATATAAAGTAAAAGGTCATCCTAATGAAAAGATTTCTAAGATATATTATTAAGTAGAAGAGAAAAATATACAGAACAGTATAGACAGTTGCTACTATTTGGGTACAAAAATAAAGAAGTGTATATATATATATATTTATTTATTTATTTATTTATAAAATAAAGTATATACATGTATATTTTTTTACTTCTTTTTTGAGACAGAATCCCACACTGTCACCCAGGCTGGAGTGCAATGGCAGGGATCTTGGCTCACAGCAAGCTGCACCTCCCAGGTTCAAGCAGTTCTCCTGGCTCAGCCTCCTGAGTGACTGGGATTACAGGCATGCAGCACCATGCCTGGCTAATATTTTGTATTTTTAGTAGAGACGGGGCTTCACTATGTTGGCCAGGCTGGTCTTGAATTAGTGACCTCATGATCCGCCTGCCTTGGCCTCCCAAAGGCTGGGATTACAGGCGTGAGCCACCATGCCTGGCCAAAGTGCATATATATTCTTATGTGTGTCAAAAATATCTCCAGAAGGGTACTGAAAACTGCTAGGCAGGCAGATGCCTCCAGGGAGAGGCACTGGGTGGTAGTGGGTGCCCAGGGGAAATAAAGAAGGGAGGCTCACTTTTTACATGCCCTGTAGTATTTTTTGAACTTTGTACCAATGTGTAAATTATTTTTTCCAAAAACAATAATTTTTTAAAAATTGTATATGTATCCTATGTGACTCAACAGGACATGACTACAACCTAGACACCAAACTGTCAGTTCTGATTGCTTCTGTTGTTCCAAAGACACAGTGAGATGTTTGCAGTTGATAAAAGGCATCTGAAATGACTGGCCTCTCTCTTTCAGCGAATCAATCCCTCTGCTGAGATGGTGATGATTGACAGGATGTTCAACCAGGAGGAAAGAGCTTCCCTATCCCGAGACAAGCGCCTGGCACTTGTAGACCCTGGTAAGAAACTTCACAGTGAAGGTAGACAGCCTCCGCCATGGTTCAGGGACTGTGGAGCCTTTGGGAGTCTGTCTGAACTTTGGGTAAGAAACCTGAAGATAGCCCGGGCATGGCAGCTCACACGTGTAATCCCAGCACTTCGGGAGGCTGAGCTGGGCAGATCATCTGAGGTCAGGAGTTCGAGACCAGCCTGGCCAACATGGCAAAACCCTGTCTCTACTAAAAATGCAAAATTAGCCGAGTGTGGTGGTGCATGCCTGTAATCCCACCCACTGGAGAGGCTGAGGCAGGAGAATGGCTTGACCCCCTGGAGGCAGAGGTCACAGTGAGCTGAGATCACGCCATTGCACTCCAGCCAGGGCAACAACAGCAAAGCTCTGTCTCAAAAAACTTGAAGGTAAAATGTGAATTCTGGGGAGAGCTGGGCACAGTGGCTCACACCCCTAATCCCAGCTACTTCCTTCTCCTCCTTGGCCTGCACAGCCAATGTTTGTTGGATGGAATCACCTTTTTAGATTTCAAGGCTATATGCCCTAGAACTCACATTTTAGAAGTTGGTGAACAAATTGCATGTTCACACTATACATATTCTTTGTGGTTTTATAGATGTCATCAAAGCCCCATTTACTTCAGTTATTTCCAGAGTTAACATTTTTTCCACTCTTGCTTAACAGCAGTCTGCCTGCCTCCACCTGTACCCTCAATGTTCTCAATCCTCGCGGACATCTTTTTTGCCATCCTTGGGCTCTTGAAGCCTGGTGCAGTTGAGGGCTCTCTCACAGACGCAGTTCCTGCATCCCCATTGACTTCCATATCATTTTGGATGAGTGTTGACTATTCATTTTGTGGTCTTGGCAAAGTGATGCCAGGCTTCTCCTGTGTGTCTAAAGGTATTGAAGTGCCTTCACCCAAAGACAAGTAGCTTTCTTCACCCAGAAAGTATGTAAGATAGATGGGTTTTCTGTTTCCTGGTATCTGTCCCCTCTTCCCTGCAAAGCCCCATTCCAGGCCCTTCTGCTGTAAGGAAGAAACCAGGCTAATACCAGCACCTAATTTCTGTTTTCAGACTGTTTCAAGGAGGTCATTAGCTGAAAACTAATTTAAAATAATACTTAGAGGCTGGGCACAGTGGCTCTCACACCTGTAATCCCAGCACTTTGGGAGACCAAGGAAGGCAGATCACCTGAGGTCGGGAGTTCAAGACCAGCCTGACCAATGTGGTGAAACCCTGTCTTTGCTAAAAATTCCTAAATTAGCTGGGCGTGGTGACGGTGCCTGTAGTCCCAGCTACTTGGGAGCCTGAGGCAGGAGAATCACTTGAACCCAGGAGGCAGAGGTTGCAGTGAGCCAAGATCGTACCACTGCACTCCAGCCTGGGCAGCAGAGCAAGATTCCATCACAAAAAAATAAAATAATACTTGGAGATCAGGACTGAGTACAGCATTTTACCCATCACGTTTTCCCATTGTCATCAAGCATCTACCTTTTCAAAAGGTTTAAGCTCCCCATCTGGAAGCCGGGGCTCCACAGCCTCGGCTGCCTTTACAGGATGCCCTCTCAGGCTCAGGTCCTGCTTCTGCATGTTCCTGTATGTGAAGCAGACGGACTCCATGAGCAGGGCTGGCATTGCCGTCCGCACCTGACCCACTGAGGGTCTGTTGTGTAATTCCTACTCTCCCAGTCACTCACTAATGTTCTTTTTGTTCCCATTTCCAGAGGGTTTTCAGGCTGATTTCTGTTGTTCCTTCAAACTTGATAAAGCTGCTCATGAGACACAGTTCGGCCGCAGTGACCAGCATGGCAGTAAAGCAAGCAGCTCTCCACATCCACCGGCCAAGGCCCAAGGCAGAGACCGAGCCAAAACCAGTGTGACAGAACCCATGAATCATGACCAGTTTCATCTAGTGCCTAATCACATCGTGGTCTCTGCAGAAGGAAACATTTCTAAAAAAACAGAATGCCCTGGCAGAGCACTGAAATTTGACAAAGTGGGCTTAGTTCAGTACCAGAGCATGTCTGAAGAGAAGGCCAGCCGGAGAGAGCCTTTGAAGGCCAGTGAGTGCTCTCCCGGCCCCGAAGGGCACCGGAAAACCTCATCCAGGTCGGATCACGGTACTGAGAGCAAACTCTCAAGCATCCTAGTGGATTCGCACTTGGAGATGACGTGTAATAATTCCTTCCAGGACAAAAGTCTGAGGAATTCTCCAAAGAATGAAGTTTTACACACAGACATCATGAAAGGGTCAGGTGAGCCCCAGCCAGATCTCCAGCTGACAAAGAGTTTAGAAAATACATTTAAGAACATCTTGGAACTCAAAAAGGCGGGACGGCAGCCCCAGAGTGACCCCACGGTTAGCGGCTCTGTTGAGTTAGATTTCCCCAACTTTTCTCCTATGGCTTCACAGGAAAACTGCCTGGAAAAATTCATCCCGGACCACAGTGAAGGTGTTGTAGAAACTGACTCCATTTTAGAAGCAGCTGTAAATAGTATCCTAGAGTGTTAATAGCCGCAGTCCTCCCCTGACCCGCCCCGAGACCCCACCCCGGACCAGTTACATTCTTTCCTGGCAAAAGCAAATGGAAATGGTCTCCTGTCTCCAGCCTGCTTGATCTTTCATCACAGGTTATTCTTTCTAATCTCAATCCTGTTCTTTGTTTAAGAGCAATACTTGTCGTGATTACAGGGAGATCCATTAGTAAAATTAATCCTTGTTAGAAAGCAGTCTGATAGGCCCCACTCATTTCAAGTGTTATGAAAGTGCATATAGTCATTTTGTTTATTTGTTTTATTTTTTAAAAACTCCATGAGACCACAGTATACTTGGCCCTGCGTAAAATTTTGACAATCATAAGTCATTTGAAAAGAACAGACTTAACTAAAATCAAATGAGACAGATAGAAGGTACTTTTTAAAGAATATCCCACTGCATCTCCAAATTTAGTTTTGGAGGTTTTTTTTTTAATTATTTTGAGTTTTGTGTGTATGTTTTGTTGTTGTTGAGGGGAAGGCCACATGATTCTTCCCCCCAGCCATCCTTGAGCAGTAAATTGCTGGCTGCGCTGCCAGGGACCCGCGGCCCTGGTGGGAAAGCCAGTAGCACATAGCAGGGCATTGCAGGGCGTCCCTGTGGATGGTTCAAGTGCTTTTCTGATGCTCCTGGAGCAAAACCTCATGCTTTTAGGCATATCCATGATGAATTTCATCTAGGGAATGTTCTGTTCTTAGTTACAATAGCAGAATTTGAAATCATTTCACCAGGCTAAATAAAGGAAAATGGAAACCACTTAAGAGGCACAGTGTACAGGGGAGGCCGGGATAGAGCCATGAGGGTTATAATATTAATATGTATATATGTAAAAGCATATATATGTTAACTATTGAGAAAAAACAAGTTTTGCATTTATAATTGGATATAGTCAACATATGATGTATGTTTTTGTTTGTTGCTGGATTTTGTTTCATTTAACCTCTCTTTGCACCCTCTCCCACAACTAATAACCAAGCATCAAAAGCACCTTCATTTGAAAATTATGTTGTAATTTTTCAGTTTAAACTTTAAGGGGACTTTGGCCTTGTTTTCATGCTTCTTGTCTGAGAACAGTAGTCACCCTGGCAGCAATTCATTACCAAAACACAGACAAACCAAAGGTAACCAGCTAGCCCACCACTAAAAGGAACGATCTGAGACATGAGATTCTCATTTGAGAGCCAAAGGATATGCCCTGTCACGGTTTGTGTGTGGCCCGTGTTCATAGTAGTGAGCATGACTTATTGCTTTATTTATTTTTCTTTCTTGTCAGGAAGTGTTCTCCATTTTCCTTTCTTGTATACCTGCCCCAGGTTATCCCTTTTCTGTTGTTACCTTTATTCTCAATGTCATTGTAACCATCACTTATCTCCTCTCATTGGGAAGGCTACGTGGTAGTACTTTTATGCACTCTTCTCCCACACATACACATGCATGTGTCTCTGAGCTGCTCAGATCCAGAGGTCATTTTGGTTACTGTGTGTGCACACTCACTCTCCTTCTTAGTGTGTGTACTCCCTCATTTTTCTCCCTGGCTCTAGAGGTGCATCCACTGGTCTCCACTTTAATGCATTGCCAGAATCTGCTTCTGGCTGTCGCCAGCATGGGGACGACCCTCACTGTCATCATGTTGGGCATTTCTTTTCCAGATTGGCCCATGATGGAAAGGAAGGCTTCTGATTAGAAAACACAGCAACAGAAGACCTGTAACCCCCGTGCCCTTCTGTCCCACTACACACACACAAAAACCCTGTGAGATGGCCAGTCTTCAGAATAGCAACGTACCTTCACCCCAACCACTTGCCCCAGCCAATACAAATTGGAAAACCTGGGCCATTTTAGGGTTACCAGTTTTTCCTTATTTGTGCCAATGTCGAATTTGCAGATTTCCCCTTTTTCCTATATTGTAACATATTAGAAAGATAAGTTGGTGTTGCCAGTCGGTACTTTGTGTTTGGGTGGCCCTGGGATAACACCCTGCCCTGAACTCCATGATTTCATAGGCTCTTCTTCCCTTAGGCCTCATGCTCCCCTAATTCCTAGCAAGACTTACAGATGATCCCTCCTGATCAAATTCTCATTGTGAAACTTTATACCTGGAAGCAAGCCTTCATGTCAGCTGCTAATGAGTTACATTAATTACTGCAAATCAGTGGAATTCTCAAGAGACAAGATAAGCTTCATGTACATTTGTCACCTCTCTTTCTTCCCTGTCCTACCCTGCTGTCCCAATCCTAGCTTTGCTATATACCATCTTACAGGGTTTTTAAGCCCTAACACTTGTCTAGCAAATGGAGAGCCTAATTTACCAAAATGAAACTTGTAAATTTTTGTGTCTTTGTATGTAAGTTTACTTTTTATGGAGGAAGGATTCTAGATAATGACAGATGAAGATTATGAAATGTGTTTTACTCCCGTGATTAGGTTCTACGCACATGGATCATAACTCGCTTGTTGAGCCCCCTCTGGTGAAGGGTAGGAGAGCTCAGCCTCGGATGGCCAACATTCAGTTGTTCAGGTTCATTAGTCGAAGTTGCGTTTTAGAGCTATTTGTACTCAGTAACAAAAATCATTTTCTTTTTTTTTTTTCCTGTTGTTGTGGAAAAGTGTGAATTTGTTATTAAGCATTTGATTTTCTGTGTCCTTAAGAACTTCCTAAAGATAAAGCAAAATTTTAATCTGGCAATTACGAAAAAAATATTTTAGCTCTGAAGGATTTAGTAGATTCTGTTAGATTAGGGAGGCCTTACAGACTGACTTGACTGAAAGAGGACGCGTCACTCGCTGTCAGTGTGGTGTGGGCTTTATTTGCTTAAATACCTTCATTTGTATAGTATGTCTCACTTGAAATTGCTTTGTATACATTTTGTAAAAATATTTATAAAATGTTTTGTAAAAAAAAAAAAAGTATAACAAATTGCAGTTTATTTTGTTATGTTGGATAAATACTGTTAAAAGAAACCAGTCAGTAACTATATTGTTAATCCATGGTTAGGAAATGTTTAGATGGAGATTACAAAATGAAACAACCATTGCAATACAGCCAAAGATTTGGGAAAATGTGCAACTGTGATTGTCTTGATTTTGCAAATAGGAAATGGCTGCTTTTCCCAGAAGGAAAGGGTAAGTGTTCAATGAGAATTCTATTTCGATAGATTAACCATTACCAAAATCAATTTACCCCACTCAGAGAAAGGATAGGATTTTAATTGATTGGCCTTTACAAACAATTACAAATTAATGAATCTGGTCAGTGAGGAGGTTTGGTCCCATGCACCTCTGGCCTCCATCCCCACTCCTGTCGCATAAGTCCTTAGCTATGGAAGGAAAAGTGGGGTCATGTGAAAAGTCAGGTAAGTGAGCCTCACTCTGCAGGAGGTTTTCTTCAATTGTTTTTTTTTGTTTCTGCAAGGACAAGGAGAAAGCTAAGGGATAAATGACTTTACATAAGACATATTCCAGAATTAACATGTGTCTCTTTGGATTCAACACATTCGACCAAATGTATTGAAAAATAACTCTATAACCTTATGTATAAAATCAGCCCCATGAGGCCCTTCTGAATTCCTGCCCTCACAATTTTCCACCCAAATTGTTAAGGAAGCTTCTGTATTTCTGGGGACAAATTGTTCTTTAGGGCTTAGAATTTACGCTTGTACTCTCTTATAGTTTAATTAGATTCTCCCCTGTGTCCTAAAAGCAGTAGGAAATCAAGATTCAGCAATAATCAGTACATAAATAGAAAGTCATTCTCTAAAAAGAAAAAGAAAAGGAAAGCAACAAAGTCATTACTGGCCGGGCGTGGTGGCTCATGCCTGTAATCCCAGCACTTTGGGAGGCTGAGGCAGCCTGATCACTTGAGGTCAGGAGTTCATGACCAGCCTGGCCAACATGGAGAAATCCCGTCTCTACTAACAATACGAAATTAGCCAGGCATAGTGGCTCATGCCTGTAATCCAGCTACTCAGGAAGCTGGGGCAGGAGAATTGCTTGAACAGGGAAGGCGAAGGTTGCAGTGAGCTGAGATCGTACCATTGCACTCCAGCCTGGGCAACAAGAGCAAAACTCCATCTCAAAAAAAAAAAAAGAAAAAAAGTCATTCTCAAATAACTAACAGAATGGCATTAAGGGATCTCTCCACTGATGTCATATACAGTGTTGCCCTGATGTCAAGCTTCTCTTCTTGCTAAGGATAAATGTGTGTCCAGAATGACATTTTTGTCCCTCTTCACGTCATTTACAATGGGAGTGTCCCAGGAATGAATAATTAAAAGGAAGGATCATCTGGCTGCTAAGTTAGGATCTGTGTCTGTTCCCTGGGGTCATGCCTAGAGGAAAGACAGGCATCTTCTCTTAGGATGGTTAGAGCCCTCAGCCCTGTGTATGGAAGAACATTCCAGGAAAGGGGCCCTAGCGCTCCCTGACACAGAAAGTGGCAGGTGAATTACTGGGGGAAAGGTAAGGGGAAAGAAAGAAACCTTTACGATGTGGGGGTTCTGGAACAGCACTGCTCAGGCAGGGCCGTAGCTATGCTGTTCTCAAACGGCTAGGCCCTGGCGTCCAGGGTCATGGATTATTAACCAACAATATGACTTGAGCAGCTGACTGTGTGGCAGGCACTATGCTAGACATTGGGATATACAGATAATTCAGACACCCTTTCTGCTTTCAAAGGGCTCAGAGTATACAGGGGGAACAAGCACACAAATATACACTACATTCAGGAACTGACTAGAGTTCAGGAGAGAAGAAAATGGGATGCTACAATTTTTCTGGGCTGGGCATGTGGCTCATGCCTATAATCCCAATGCTTTGGGAGTCTGAGGCAGGAGGATTGCTTGAGGCCAGGAGTTCAAGACCAGCCTGGGCAACACAGTGAGACCTATCTCTACAAAAAAAATTTTAAATTAGCCAGGCAGGCCAGGCATGGTGGCTCAGCACTTTGGGAGGTCAAGGCAAGCAGATCACCTGAGGTCAGGAGTTTGAGACTGACCCCTATCTCTACTAAAAATGCAAAATTAGCTGGGTGTGGTGGCAGGCACCTGTAATCCCAGCTACTTGGGAGACTGAGGCAGGAGAATTGCTTAAACCTGGGAGTTGGAGGTTTCAATGAGCCAAGATTGTGCCATTGCACTCCAGCCTGGGCAACAAGAGTGAAATGCTGCCAGTGCAGTGGCCCATGCCTATAATCCCAGCACTTTGGGAGGCCAAGGCTGGTGGATCACAAGGTCAGAAGTTCGAGGCCAGCCTGACCAACATGGTGAAACCCTGTCTCTACTAAAAATACAAAACTTTAGGCGGGCATGGTGGTGGGCACCTATAATCCCAGATACTCAGGAGGCTGAGGCAGGAGAATTGCTTGAACCCAGGAGGCGGAGTTTGCAGTGAGCCAAGATTGAGCCACTGCACTCTAGCCTGGGTGATCGAGTGAGACTGTCTCAAAAAAATAAAATTAAATTAAAATGTGAAATTGCGTCTCAAAAAAAAAAATTAGCCAGGCATGGTGGCACACGCCTATAGGCCCAACTACTCAGGAGGCTGAGGCCAGAGGATTGCTTGAGCCCAGTTCAAGGCTGCGGTGAGCCATGATCATGCTACTGCACTCCAGCCTGGGTGACAGAACAAGACCCTGTCTCAAAAAATAAAATTCATCTGAACTGCCACTATAAATTGCACAGAGAGCTGTAATTTACATTTCCATGCCCTGGTTCTTAGTAGTTTCCTAAGTTATACTTGAGAAAAAAATATATACTTTCTTCAGTAACAAATATAAAAGACTTTTGTAATTAAATTGTTAATTATGTGGAGAAATCTGGTTCCGTATGCTCACAAATGGCAGGAGCACATATGTAGTATAAAGTGGATTCTATAATATGACCTGCCTGCCTACACTGCTGCAGGTAAAAGACCTTTACAAGAAACTCAGGCCGGGCATGGTGGCTCATGCCTATAATCCCAGAACTTTGGGATGCCAAGGCAGGAGGATTACTGAAGGTGAGGAGTCTGAGATCAGCCTGACCAATTTGGTGAAACCCCATCTCTACTAAAAATACAAAAATTAGCTGAGCATGGTGCACCTGTAGTCCCAGCTACTCGGGAAGCTAAGACAGGAGAATCACTTGAACCCTGGAGGCGGAGGTTGCAATGAGCCGAGACTGCACCACTGCACTCCAGCCTGGGTGATAAGAGTGAGACTCCGTCTCAAAAAAAGAAACCCTGATTTGTATTACTCTTGGGTATGTGCTGGAGTCTGTCCTTTGAAACCAATTGCAAAGGCAAGAAGTTCCTTGGGAAAAAATTACTTCTATGAAGGTCAAGGAAAGCAGTTCAACTGGGTGGGCAAAAAATGCCTTTGGCAGCAGAATGTGGAAATGGGTTTTCATACTCCATCTGTCACATAATCACGTATCTTTATACAACTTAACTCTCAGTCACGGTGTCTTTGCCTTGGCCCCTACTTCTTAGGGTCTAAAGTGGGTTACTAAGGCCAGTCAAGGTGGCTCACGCCTGTAATCCCAGCACTTTGGGAGGCCAACGTGGGTGGATGACCTGAGGTCAGGAGTTCAAGACCAGCCTGGTCAACATGGTGAAACCCCGTCTCAGCTAAAAAAAGAAAAAAATACAAAAATTATCTGGGCGTGGTGGCAGGTGCCCATAATCCCAGCTACTCAGGAGGCTGAGGCTGAAGAACTGCTAGAACCTGGGAGGCAGAGACTGCAGTGAGCCGAGATCGTCTACTACACTCCAGCCTGAGTGACAGAGTAAGACTCTGTCTCAATTAATTAATTAATTTAAAGTGTGTTACTGAAGGCCTATAGAAAGTAAAAAGAGCGGGTCAGACGCGGTGGCTCATGCCTGTAATCCAAGCTGAGGCAGGCAGATCACCTGAGGTCAGGAGTTCAAGACCAGCCTGGCCAACATGGCAAAACCTCACCTCTACTAAAAATACAAAAAATTACCTAGGCGTGGTGGCACAAGCCTGTAGTCCCAGCTACTCAGGCTGAGGCAGGAGAATCACTTGAAACCGGGAGGTGGAGGTCGCAGTGAGCTGAGATCATGCCACTGCACTCCCACCTGGCTGACAGAGTGAGACTCCATCTCAAAAAAAAAAAAAAAAAAAAGTAAAAAGAGCCATGTTCCATTATCCTTGAAATAATTCAGAAGTTTGGGTTGTTCTGGTTTGCTTTTAGTCTTACCTGCTACATACTTTCACCTTCCTACCCCAGCTTTCCTGTCTATCCTCGAGTCTCAAAAGGCTGCTGCCCCTCACCTGTTTTCTCCCTTCCTTCCCACTTTTGCTACCGTCTGCTTGTTTTTCATCAGGATCAAAAGCTGTTGTCCACGTTGTCTTCCTCAACTCCAGGTTCATCCACTGCTCTCATACTAACCTCCTTCCTACCTGCTTCCTAATAACATCTTGTCACTCTCCAAGAACGCAAGCAAAGCTTGAAGCAAAATGAAGCTAGCTGACTGCAAGAAGTGTCTTAGCCGGGCGCGGTGGCTCAAGCCTGTAATCCCAGCACTTTGGGAGGCCGAGGCGGGTGGATCACGAGGTCAAGAGATCGAGACCATCCTGGTCAACATGGTGAAACCCCGTCTCTACTAAAAATACAAAAAATTAGCTGGGCATGGTGGCGCGTGCCTGTAATCCCAGCTACTCAGGAGGCTGAGGCAGGAGAATTGCCTGAACCCAGGAGGCGGAGGTTGCGGTGAGCCGAGATCGCGCCATTGCACTCCAGCCTGGGTAAAAAAAGCGAAAAACCCCAACCCAAAAAAAAAAAAAAAAAAAAAAAAAGAAGTGTCTTAACCCAAGAAAGAGGATGGAGAAGACGGGAAATTGCAGATAGAGTTCCCCTCAGGGTGTGTTGGGTGCACAGCTTTGCTTTAAGTAAAAAGAGTAGGATTCCAAATAGTCCAGAAGCACAGAGAATACTGAAATTATTCAGGGACATGTTAGGAAAGGGATTCTGGAGCCAGTTTAGAGAACCACAAAAATCCAATTACTTACAGAGCTTTCTTTTTCTTTTTGAGACAAGGTCTGGCTCTGTCACCAGGCTGGAGTGCAGTGGTACAATCTCTGTTCACTGTAACCTCTGCCTCCCAGGCTCAACCTGTCCTCCCGCCTCAGCCTCCTGAGTAGCTGGGATTATGGGCACCCACCACCACACCCAGATAATTTTTGTATTTTTTTTTTTTTGTAGCAGAGATGGGGTTTCACCATGTTGACTAGGCTGGTCTTGAATGCCTGACCTCAAGTGATCCACCCACCTCAGCCTCCTAAAGTGTTGGCATTACAGGCGTGAGCCACCACACCCAGCCATCTGTCTATCTATCTGTCTGTCTGTCTGTCTGTCTGTCTGTCTGTCAAGACAGGGTCTCACTCCTGTTGCCCAGGTTGGAGTGCAGTGGCAGACCTCAGCTCACTACAGCCTTGACCCTCCAGGCTAAAGCGATCCTCCCACCTCAGCCGCTCAAGTAGCTGTGACTATAGGTGTGCACCATCACGCCTGGCTAATTTTTTATATTTTCAGTAGAAATGGGGTTTCACCACGTTGCCCAGGCTGATCTCAAATTCCTGGTATCAAGTGATCCACCCGCCTTGGCCTCCAAAAGTACTGTGATTACAGGTGTGAGCCACTGCACCCAGCCTAATATTTATATTTTTGTACAGATGGGGTTGCACCATGTTGCCCAGGCTGGTCTCAAACTCTTGAGCTCAAGTGATCCACCCACCTGGGCCTCCCAAAGTGCTGGGATTACAGATGTGAGCCATCAACCTGACTCAGAGCTTTTTTTTAAACTAATACATATGTGGTAAACAAAGGGCTAAAGTTTTCCTCCCATTCCAGACCCTACTACTATCTCCCAAAAGACCCCCATCAGCACTTTTTCATATATGCTTCCAAAATTGTTACATACAAATATACCCATAACCAGCCGGGCATGTTGGCTCACACCTGTAGTCCCAGCACTTTGGGAGGCTAAGGCGGGTGGATCACCGGAGGTCAGGAGTTCAAAAGCAGCCTGACCAACATGGTGAAACTTTGTCTCTACTAAAAATACAAAAATTAGCCGGGCATGGTGGTGGGCACCTGTAATCCTAGCTACTCTAGAGGCTGAAGCAGGAGAACTGCTTGAACCTAGAATGTGGCAGTTGCGGTGAGCTGAGATCACGACACTGCACTCCAGCCTGGGCATCAGAGCAAGACTCTGTCTCCAAAAAAAAAAAAAAAAGTCTTGTCTCAAATCTTGTACTTCATTCCATCATCACTCTGCTCAAAATTCAAAATCACAGAGAAATTTAGCATCTCATGCCCACTCCCAATGGGGTATGAAAAAAGTTGAAAAGATCTTCCCAAGACTCCTTCAATTTAAGTATTGGAGGGCACGCATTGGGATTTGACATACTCCCCCCAGCCGCCCAACTGTACATGATGAAGAGACAAGTTCACAAGAGGACTGGGAATTTTTTTTTTTTTTTTTTTTTTTTGGAGACAGGGTCTCACTTTGTTCCCCAGGTTGGAGTGCAGTGGCATGATCTCAGCTCAACTGCAGCCTCTGCCTCCCAGACTCGAGCGATTCTTGTGCCTCAGCCTTCCAAGTAGCTGGGGTTACAGGCATGCGCCACCACACCTGGCTAATTTTGTATTTCAGTAGAGATGGGGTTTCACCATGTTGGCCAGGCTGGTCTTAAGCTTCTGACCTCAGGTGATCCACCTATCTCGGCCTCTCATAGTGCTGGGATTACAGGCATGAGCCACCATGCCCAGCCTCAGTAACCTCACTTTGAAAAAAAGATCTAGGGCACATGCTGAATGCTCAGTAAACACATATTCAATTAGTGAATAATTGTTTAATTGAAGAGGAGGGCTCCTTTTTCCCTGGGTCAGTCTGGTGGAGTAACGGCTTTGCCATTGCGAATAAGTACTGTCCTAGCACCATCTGCTGGCAGTGGAAAACCATTTCCTGAATCCTGGCCTCAATCCCATTCAGCCTTGAAATACTGGTGCTTTGCTTTGTTTTGTTTGTTTGTTTTAAAGAGACAGGGTCTCGCTATGTTGCCCAGTCTGGAGTGCAGTGGCTATTTACAGGCGCGATCCCACTACTGATCAGCACGGGAGTTTTGACCTGCTCTTGCTTTGTCACCCAGGCTGGAGTCAGTGGTGCAATCTAAGCTCACAGCAACTTTTGCTTTCCAGGTTCAAGTGATTCTCCTGCCTCAGCCTGCCAAGTAGCTGGGACTATAGGCATGCGCCACCACACCTGGCTAATTTTTGTATTTTTAGTAGAAATGGGGTTTTGTTTTGCCATGTTGCCGAGGCTGGTCTTGAAATCCTGAGTTCAAGTGATCCACCCGCCTCAGCCTCCCAAAGTGCTGAAATTACAGATGTGAGCCATCAGCGCCCGGCTGGAGTATTGTTAACCCTAAAATTCCTCCTCCTCTTAATATTAGTGGTACCTCAGAATCTACCTTTTATCCCTAGACAGGAGAAATCACAAAACATTAACTTTCTGCTTTTTGGTTTACTATTTAGTGGATGTCTTACACTTTAGTGACCCTTGTGTTTTGCTTCTTTATGAAGACACATGGTAAGGTGCTCAAAGAGAATGAGCCTTCCTCTTTCAGTGCGTGACCCTGAAGACTGTGTTGTCCTGACATTTATTCATCAGATAATGACCTCTGCCCACGGCACTCTTTCTGGTTGGACTAGTTACATGGCAATACGATGCCTTCAGCTGCCACCAATTATCAGTATCAACAGTGCCAAAATCGAGAAATTGGTGCTAGAGCCTTAGGATCAGTGGTGAGTAAGCAGGCATGGTTCCTGCCCTCCGAGTATCACCTGGAAGAAATATTAAAAATATAATAATGTGCTGAGGGAATTCAGACTCTCTAGAGTCTTACTAGCCAGCCCATAGACCAGTAGCACCAGCATCACTCTGAAGCCTGTTAAAAATGCAGAATATCAACTCCCCACCCAGCCTCCTGAATAAAAATCTGTATTTTAGGCCGGGCACGGTGGCTCACGCCTGTAATCCCAGCACTTTGGAAGGCCGAGGCGGGTGGATCACGAGGTCAAGAGATCGAGACCCTCCTGGTCAACATGGTGAAACCCCGTCTCTACTAAAAATACAAAAAATTAGCTGGGCATGGTGGCACATGCCTGTAATGCCAGCTACTCAGGAGGCTGAGGCAGGAGAATTGCCTGAACCCAGGAGGCGGAGGTTGCGGTGAGCCGAGATCGCGCCATTGCACTCCGGCCTGGGTAACAAGAGCGAAACTCCGACTCAAAAAAAAAAAAAAAAAAAAAAAAAAAAAAAAATCTGTATTTTAGTACAATCTTCAGATAACTCCTATTCAATATTCATGCTTGAGAAGCGCTGCTCTGGAGGTTTCCAGAGATGACAGGACTTGTGTTGTTTTTCAGAATTTTTAATTTATAAAGAAACTTAAAAACTTTTTTTAAATTTTTTTTGAGACAGTCTCTCTTTGTCGTCCAGGCTGGAGTGCACTGGAGCAGACTCGGCTCATGCAGCCTCCCCCTCCCGGGTCTCCCGGGTTCCATCGACTCTCCTACCTCAGCCTCCCTAGTAGCTGGTACTTCAGGCGCGAGCCACCATGCCCAGCTCATTTTTAGTAGAGACAGGGTTTCACCATGTTGGTCAGACTGGTCTCCAACTCCTGACTTCAAGTGATCCACTGCCTTGGCCTCCCAGAGTGCTGGGATTACAGGTGTAAGCACCACGCCCGGCCTACTGTTTTTCAGGCTTTTATATAGACCGGGAGGGAAGAACACATATTCCAGGCTATGAGAGCTGTATAACGGATTTATTTATTTATGATACGGAGTCTTGCTCTGTCGCCCAGGCTGGTGTGCAGTGGTGCGATCTTGGCTCACTGCAACCTCCACCCGAGACAGGGTTTCTCCATGTTGGTCAGGCTGGTCTCGAACTCCTGACCTCAGGTGATCCGCCCGCCTCGGACTCCCAAAGTGCTGGAATTACAGGCGTGAGCCACCGCACCTGGCCTGTATAACGGTTTTATATGGCAAGGAAGCATGTTGCAGTTTTCGGTCCAACAGTAATAGTAACAGGCAGACACTGTGCTAAGCGCTTTATATAGAGAATCTCCAGTAATCCGCGTAACGCCATTAGGTAGATCTATTATTACTGCATACCCACTTTATGGGTAATGAACCCGCAGTATAGAGGGGTTAAATAACGTGTTTAAGGACCCATCGACGAAGCCAAGCAGACGCAATTGCAGCTACCTTCTTTACCAATCTTAAGCCCTCAACAAACACTTCCACCTACATGTGAGAGCCAAAGCCATAGCCTCCAAGTCTTTCCACAGAGCGATAACGCTTCGCGGAGTTTGCCAGTCCTCCAGCCCGGAAACGCGCAGCAGAGCCACGCCGGAAGTGCGGCGCCGTAGCTAGAGCGGAAGCCGGAAGTACATTGCAGTAAGCGCTTTATTGTCCACCGCCAATCCGTCAGTATGATGAAACTAACTTACAAGAAAAGGGCTGAGTTTTGAAAATGACACAGGCTCTAAAAAGCTTGGAAGCCCTGCAACTTTTGGCAGGAATTGTGGTTAGCTGGACCTCAGCGGCTCACTGCTCCTAAGTGGAAGCTGGCTGTTTGGGTCCTCCAGCCTGAGCTAGAGCAGACATCTCTATGGTCAAGTAAACAGCGCGAGTGCTGTTTTCCCCACGTGGTGGGATTGCGCAAGATCAGTAGCTGCTACACCGGAAAGATGGCGGAGCAAGAGTGAGTGAGTGGGGCTTTGAATTCTTGGGAGTTGGGTCTTGAGTATCTGGTGCCATCCACGGTGTTTATGCTTCGCTGGCGGATTCTTGTGGGCTCTAGGAATAGAAAAGGCCACAGTTTACAAAGGTTTGGGATGAGGAGCCGTAGCTTTGGGGCGGAGAAGAGAGGGGACGGCGGTCAAATTCGGGTTATCTAGAGAGGCGAGGATTGACTTCAGGCAGCGGGCTGGAGTGCCACAGTGGAATTGACCCAGTTTAACAAGTATCTGACCTATCTGACCCTGCAGATAGATCTCCACCCTCCCCAACCCCGTGGGGTTTTACTAGACTCATCGCTGCTAGTGCCTATAAAGAGTTGTGGCAGTGAACACCCTGTTAACTTACAGGAACTCAGGGCCAAAGTCTTCATTACTTTCTGAGGCTTTGGGGGTGAGTGAATATTAGGGGTACATTTTGAGGGCTGGAGTCAGAAACCACAGGCTTCAGGGGAATCTTCAGACACTTGAAAACAGTAATGTTCCCTGAAGCCCGGTATATTGAATTGGTTTGGGAATCCATTGAATGTTCGTTTTCTATTTTGTTGTTTTTGCTTTGAGATGAGTCTTGCTCTGTCGCCTAGGGTGGAGTGCAGTGGCGCGATCTCGGCTCACTGGAACCTCCGCTTCCCGGGTTCAAGTGATTCTACTGCTCAGCCTCGAGAGTAGCTGGGATTACAGGCGTGCGCCACCACGCCTGGCTAATTTTTGTATTTTTAGTAGAGACAAGGTTTCACCATGTTGGTCAGGCTGGTTTTGAACTCCTGACCTCAGGTGATAAGTGCTGGGGTTACAGACTTGAGCCACCGCGCCCGGCCGAATGTTCCTTTTCTAAATGTTATCTCTGATCCCAATTTTCTGCATCAGGCAAAGAAAAATCCCTTTGGTTCCAGAAAATCTCCTGAAAAAGAGGAAGGCTTATCAAGCCCTCAAAGCCACTCAGGCAAAGCAGGCACTTTTGGCAAAGAAGGAGGTAATGGTGGGGAACCAAGAGGAAGTAATTAGAATTTGCATTTGGTGAGTTTTATCCAGCATGTGTTGGACTGTATTTGGTATTGACAAGTTCCCGGCAACGGTTTGACAAACTAGGTATAGTCATCCCACAGTATCCTTAAGGGGTTGGTTCCAGGACCACAGATGCCTAAATCTGACACTGCTGAAGTCCCTTATATAAAATGGTTGTAGTATTTGCATACAATCTATACTCCTGCCCGTGTGGTTTAAATCATCTCTGGATTAATAGCTTTTTTTTTTTTTTTTTTTTTTTTTTTTTTGAGGCAAGAGTCTTACTCTTGCCCAGGCTCTAGTGCAGTGGCAGAATCTCACTGCAACCTCTGCCTCCTGGGCTCAAGCAATTCCCCTGCCTCAGCCAGCCGAGTAGCTAGGATTACAGGCATGCACCTCCACACCCGACTTTTTTTATTTTATTTTATTTTATTTTTGAGATAGAGTTTCACTGAGTCACCCAGGCTGGGGTGCAGTGATGCTGTCTTGGCTCACCGAAACCTCCGCCTCCTGGGTTCAAGCGATTCTCCTGCCTCAGCCTCCCAAATAGCTGGGATTACCAGGATGCACCATTGTGCTGGGCTAAGTTTTGTATTTTTAGTAGAGGCGGGGTTTCACCATGTCGGCCAAGCCGGTCTCCAACTACTGGACTCAAATGATCTGCCCACCTCAGCTTCCCAAAGTGCTTCAATTACAGGCATGAGCCACCCCTCCCGGCCACCAGCTAATTTTTGTATTTTCAGTAGTGGTGTTTTGACATGTTAGCCACACTGGTCTCAAACTCCTGGCCTCAAGTGATCTACCCACTGGCCTCCCAAAGTGCTGGGATTACAGGCCTGAGCCACCCCGCCTGGCCTCATATTTTTCCCCCTGATTTTTTGTTTTTTGTTTTGAGACGGATTTTTCCTCTTTCACCCAGGCTACAGTGAAGTGGCATCTCAGCTCACTGCACCTCCCGGGTTCAAGCAATTCCCCTGTCTCAGCATCTCCAGTGGCTGGGATTTTAGGTGTCTGCCACCACGCCAGGCTGGTCTCTTAACTCTGACCTCAGGTGATCTGCCCACCTCAGCCTCCCAAAGCTAGGATTACAGGCGTGAGCCACCGCATCTGGCCTTTTTTTTTTTTTTTTTTTTCTTAGGAGTGAGGTCTTTGACCGGGAGGCTGAGGCAGAAGAATTGCTTGAACCCAGGAAGCAGAGGTTGCAGTGAGCTGAGGTTGTACCACTGCACTCCAGCCTGGGCAGCAGAATGAGACTCTATCTTGAAAAAAAAAAAGGAGTGAGGACATCTTCTGTTGCCCAGGCTAAAGTGTAGTGGCAGGATCATAGCTCATTGCAGCCCTGAATTCCTGGGTTCAAAAGATCCTCCCGCCTCAGCCTCCTGAGTAGCTGGGACTACTGGGTGAGCCACTGCATGTGGGCTCCTCTGAGATATTTTACATCTGGGATTGGTAGAATTGCAGATGCAGGGCTCCAAGTGTATATGGTTCATGTCTTCCTTTAGCAAATATTTAACACCTGCCGGCAAAATGCTGGAGTTGAGTTTGTTAAGGAAACTTGTTAGTAAACATTAATTAATAGCATGTAAATTAATTTTTTGTTTGTTAATTATTTTTCCCAATAATTCCCAAGTTTTCTCTACTCCACCTTTACTTTGGTTTCTAATTTTTCCTTTATATGAAAACAGAGGATCTTGCTTTGCTCCCCATTGTAGAACACAGGGAAAAAGCTCTATCAGTTGTCACTCATGAATTACTGTTCTGAAAGTAAAAATGTATGGAGGCACAAAATGATAATGGTGATGACGGTCTGTCTTCTCTGTAGCAGAAGAAAGGAAAAGGGCCCAGGTTTAAGCGATTAGAATCATTCCTACATGATTCCTGGCGGCAGACACGTGACAAGGTGCGTGTCAGACGACTGGAAGTGAAGCCTCACGCCTTGGAATTGCCAGATAAACATTCTTTGGCCTTTGTCGTACGCATTGAAAGGTAAGGAACTGGTGTCTTCCTAATTGCATGAGGCTGGGGCAAACTGCTGGTTAAACTTTAGACCCATTTCTAGGGAGATAAGATATTAGGCCCCAAGCCACTCAGGCAAGTTGTGCTAGGATGTCAGGGTTAAGCACAATTTAGTCTGCAGTATTGGAAGACCTTCTTAGATAGGCTTGGAAATAAGTGATGTGAGGATAAAGTGCTCACTAGGGAGATGGGTTGAGGACACCCTCTCTAAAGCAGGAACTTCAGCCGGAGACCTGAAAGATGTGAAAGGCGTTCACCGGTGTTGGGAGACTTTGTAGTCATACGTGCTAAAGTCCTGAGGTGGGGAGATCATTCTAGGAACTGAAACAAGGCCAAGTGGATGAAGCGTATTCTTTAAAGGGGAGATATTTTTCCTCATTTAGTGGAACTTTCCTGACCCCATCCCCACCCCTTTGTACAACTCTATTTCTTGCTGTTTCCCCTACCCAATCACCCTGTGGCTTTTGCATATTTATGAGCTCTGTCCTTTGTGGCCCTCTGCCACTGCACATATTTTTCCTAGACTATTGTATTAACCTTCCTCCTGGATTTCCTTGTCTCTAGTGTCACGCTCTGATCTGTCCCATACACCGCCCTTGGTGATTGTCAGAAGGAAATCTGGTGGTGGTGCTTCTGCTTAAAATCTTCAGTAGTGGCTAGGCACGATGGCTTATGCCTGTAATCCCAGCACTTTGGGAGGCCAAGGCGGGCAGAGCACGAAGTCAAGAGATCAAGACCATTCTGGTCAACATGGCAAAACCCCATCTCTACTGAAAATACAAAAATTAGCTGGGCATGGTGGTGCACGCCTGTAGTTTCAGCTGCTCAGGAGGCTAAGGCAGAAGAATTGCTTGAACCCAGGAGACAGAGGTTGCAGTGAGCCAAGATGGCATCATTGCACTCCAGCCTAGGTGGCAGAGTGAGACTCTGTCTCAAAAAAAAAATCCTCAGTAGCTTTTACCGCCCGGACAAGCACGTCCATCTTCCTTAGCTGGACATGCGTAGATCTACCACTCCCCTCACCCCTGAAAAACACACAAATTCAGGGACTTTCTCTGTGTTTTCATAGCACTCCAGGCATTGCTCCACATCATGAAAGGATATGTTTTCATAACCACCTCCTACTAAACTGAGCTCTTTAAGGCATGGTCTTACTCCAGATACCCAGTGTAGTGACCTTGCATATTGTGCTTGCTGGACTGACATAAATTGGAGGGAGTCTGTCTGACTTCTTTTGCTATTCATTTCAGGATTGATGGTGTGAGTTTACTGGTGCAGAGAACCATTGCAAGACTTCGCCTAAAGAAAATTTTTAGTGGTGTCTTTGTAAAAGTCACTCCCCAGAACCTAAAAATGCTGCGTATAGTGGAACCTTATGTGACCTGGGGGTGAGTAAGATTTCCAGTGTGAATTCACATTAGATTTCTATTTCAGTGTGTTAGGGTGCACTGGGTCTTGCTCTCCAGGGTTCATGTTGCTGTAGAAGGAACATTTTGCTGTGACCACAGTCACCCTGAAATCAGCAGGTAGCTGTAAGAACCATAGCACACGGGGTAGGGAGGGGTCTTAACAGTGCTATAGTAGGGCTGCTTCAGTTATAGGCTAAGGCTGGATCAAGCAGAGATTGTTCTTGGAAGTCTTAAAGCAGAGCTAAGGGCAGTGCTTGTGTAAGAGTAGTATTGCTCAAACATTGAAACTCAACAAAAGCTTGGATTTCATTTCTAGCTCTTGCGCCATCTTGAGTCCTAGACCCTAAGCTAGGACATGGTTTCTGTTTTGTTTTTGTTGGCGATGTTTTCTCTGGTGAACATTTACATCCATAAATTTAAATTTCTAATTATGTAAGTGGGGTCACTTCAGTTCTTAATCAGGAATATTTCCAAGCATCCCAGCTGGCATGTGCTTGCAGAACACTTGCTGGCAGGGAGAAGGGGGCGGGTGGGAAAACCTCTCCAACCTTCTCAGCCAGGCTGCAGGACTGGTGTGTAGTGTGCCAGGTGCTGGTGAAAACTGTGCTTTATTTTACCCACATAGATTTCCAAATCTGAAGTCTGTCCGGGAACTCATTTTGAAACGTGGACAAGCCAGGGTCAAGAATAAGACCATCCCTCTGACAGACAACACTGTGATTGAGGAGCACCTGGGTGAGTGCTGCAGCTTAGGGATCAGTTGGAGAAAAATTTTTTTGATGTGAGATTCAGGTTGTATTATTTTTGGGGTCCCAAGAGCCTGCCAGAGCGCCCAGCTTAGTATATGCTGGACACTTATTGAATAAAGGAATCTGTGCCTTTGTTTCTTAGGGAAGTTTGGTGTCATTTGCTTGGAAGACCTCATTCATGAAATTGCCTTCCCGGGGAAGCATTTCCAGGAGATCTCATGGTTCTTGCGCCCTTTCCACCTCTCAGTGGCCCGTCATGCTACCAAAAATAGAGTGGGCTTCCTCAAGGAGATGGGCACACCTGGCTATCGGGGTGAACGCATCAATCAGCTTATCCGCCAGCTGAACTAGAACCAGGTGAGGCAGGGCTGAGAACTGCTCTTGGACTGACTGTGGGTGGGCCATGCCTTGCCACTTTAAAAGTTCTTTTTGCATTTACTAATTATTAAGAGTAACCTTGAGATTGGGAGGAAAGAGGAGGTGGGTACAAGTAGTTGGAGACCTGGGAGCAATGAATGTCTGATTAGGACGTGGGGCTATACATAGCCTAGTAGTTACAGGCTTAAAAATGTCCAGTAACTAAAAACTATTGCTGTAGTCATTTAGATGGAAATGAGGAAAGAATATTAATAACTGATTGCAAAAAGGACTTGAAGATGTGAATCATCTATTTTGCTGAAGAAATCTTAACTCTTTTTGAAATTACATTGTATTCCTGTTGTTATTACTCTAGGTGCCAAACTGCAATAAATTTTTATCAATGAAGTGGAAGCATGTGTTTTTGGGTTTGGAGAATTTGTATCAAGTATCTTCAGAGAAGATTATTTCCTGCTTTATCTTTAAAAACTGGAAAGGAACGGTCAAAGAAAAGACAGTAGCTGGCCAGGCGCGGTGGCTCATGCCTGTAATCCCAGTACTTTGGGGAGGCTGAGGAGGGCGGATCACCTAAGGTCGGGAGTTCGAGACCAGCCTGACCAACATGGCAAAACCCCGCCTCTACTGAAAATACAAAAATTAGCAGGCATGGTGGCGCATGCCTGTAATCCCAGCTACTCGGGAGGCTGAGGCAGGAGAATCGCTTGAACCCAGGAAGCAGAGGTTGCTGTGAGCCAAGATCACACCATTGCACTCTAGCCTAGGCAACAAGCGAAACTGTTTCAAAAGAAAAAAAAGAAAAAAACAGTAGCTTATGTACATTGCAAGCACCTCTCATCACAATCCAGTTCCAAGGAAAAATTCCAGCGTTTTCTACATTGGCTGCTGCCTCGTCTGAAATCAGCACATTCCATGGAGGAAGGAGTTCTGCTTTGCTGCATCTCTTATTCTAGGGTTTAATGTTGGTAATTGAGTAACTCTAGCATTTGTACAAGGCTCCCTAAGACTCCTGCAGCAGTGGACAAGCCCAGGGACATAATTGAATCTGGTGATTCCTGGGGCCTTGTGAGAAAGACTTGAAATACACATAGGAGGAAAGGTACAAAAATAAATGTTTACTTGTCTCTGCTCCGAGTCTGTGTTCCAACTTTTCAGTGATGGCTTTGAGAGCTCTCAGAATTGACTGGCTCTAAGTGTGTCTGATGGATTTTGTATCCCAATCTGACACTGGCTTAGTACTTTTTCCTAAAAGCTCAGGATTTGAGAATGAGGACCCCTTCGCCAGGAAAACTTATATACAATCACAATTTTGCTTGCTGTTCTAGGATGTTTAGAACCTTGTCAGATACCTGTGCACCTTATGGGTTTTTTTTTGTTTTTGTCTTTATTTTGAGATAGAATCTCTTGCCTACGCTGGAGTGCAGTGGTGTGATCTCATTTCACTGCAGCCTCCACCTACTGGGTTCAATTGATTCTCCTGCCTCAGCCACTCAAGCAGCTGGTAGGCATGCTCCACCATGCCCAGCTAATTTTTATATTTGTGGTAGAGACAGAAAGGGTTTCACCACATTGGCCAGGCTAGTCTCAAAACTCCTGACCTCAAGTGATCCACCCAACTGGGCCTCCCCAAATTGCTGGGATTACAGGCATAAGCAGCCATTCCTGGCCCTTGTGTACCCTATATGAGGAAGTCCTGCTTTTAATCAGGATTGGTCATGCAGGCCCTGATCTTGCTAGTCTGGTTCCATGTCCTGTGGAAGACAAAAGCTTACCAAGATAGCTTTTTCCCTTCATGGTGGCAGATAGTGTTGCCAGCTTTTTCTCTTCATGGTGGCAGATAGTGTTGCACCCTGTACATCTACAACTTGGAAATGCCCACCATTTTTTCCCCTAGGCTTCAGGATAGAATTACCTGGTTCTCTGATGATCAGCACTCTTCCTTAAAACCCAGGTCAGGAAGGAGTGAACAATTTTGTTTGCCTTGGATGAAATTAGCACTGTTTGGCTCTGTAGGCCCCATACAGGCAGGCAGCTTAATTTTTTCCTTGCATATTCTAGTCTCCAAAAATACTGCCCTTTGTCCTGCTGGTAATGACATAGCAGATAGAAGACCAGCAACTGGGCATCTGGGGGTTTTCATCCTGAAAACTGAGTCTGATACTGCTCATGTTTTTCATCAGTGTCCACTCCAAGTGGTTCTTCCTGCTACTCACTTCACTTAGTTGCCCCCCCCACTTGCCATCTGAGCAATTGGTAAGGATGCTCCAGGCCTAGGTTAAACTTGGAAACATAACCTGACCATTCTATTCCCTGGTCCTATCAGATCAATTTGGCTGCAGTTTTGGCTCCTCAAGCATAGCTGGGACTTAAAGGTGTAACTGCCCTAAAATGTGCCAGCTTATGAAGTAATTAGATTGGTTCTCTCCAGAGGTAACCTGCCAAGAAGAGATGCTATAGATGTTAATCTTATACTGTAAAACATTGTGAAATCAGATTACTTTAAAATGATGTATTACAAAGTTATGGAAAAAAATTGCGACTTTGGCAGCCCAAGGCTTATATCTCAGCTCTTACAGTAAATATGGGTACAGTGTTTCCACTCTGTAAAATGGGAGCTAATATCCTCCAATCTGTGTGCCTGATACGGTAGTTAAAAGGTTTAAGCAAAACAATAGTTTGTAATTTATTCTGTCAGCGCAAACTGCTGGTAAATAAATAAAAGGGAGAGCCTGGCGTGGTGGCTCACACCTGGGAGACTGAGGTGGGCGGATCACAGGTCAGGAGTTCGAGACCAGCCTGACCAACATGGTGAAACTCCATCTCTACTAAAAATACAAAAATTAGCTGGGCATGGTGGCATGTGCCTGTAATCCCAGCTACTTGGGAGACTGAGGCAGGGGAATCGCTTGAACCCAGGAGGCAAGGTTGCAGTGAGCCAGGATTGCACCACTGCACTCCAGTCTGGTGACAGAGACTCCATCTCAAAAAAAAATAAAAGGGAGTAAGTTGACTAAAAATAAGTTTTGTGTTTTTTTTTAATAAGCATAATAAAACAAGTTTGTAACTTATAATTGTATACAAATAAGTTATAAAATTTGTGCACTTGTATATATGTACCATGACATAACTAACTCTTTGAACAAGTTTTGACAATCCTTATTTTTGAGAAAAGCTAGACCTGTTACGTAATCTGTGGCTTAGGGTATGTTCATGTCAGCACGCACCAGGTACACTAGCTTTTGTAGAGAAAGTAAAATCTAGTGTTGAGAAAGTAAGTGGACTGAGCCAGGCGGCGTATTTAACATAAAAGGACTAATTTCAGGGTAGCTGTGGACCCTTTCCAAAGTTCTAATTTTCTAGCCCCTTACCTGATCCAGCTGATTCCAAGAGCCAAGATTTTAGTCTTGGTTGGCTTATTTAAATGTTTTGGGCTTTCCTTTATTTAATGTATCTTCAAAGTCATTCTGGGCCCAAGTTACATCATCAAACCTTTTATTACATATACGGGCTGAAACAGAATTTTTCTTAACTGCGTATCATGTCCCAGAAATGCAAATACAAAACCCCGATGGTGGTTGCAGGAACAAGTCCAGCTGAGACAGGTCAGGGCGAAAACAAAAGATGAGTAACTGACTGGCATTCAGGGTACTGGAGCCACGCCCTACAGATCTCCGCTGGAAAGGACCTCGAACCTCAGGACCCCACTGTCTGCCATGAAGAAGGTGCAGTCGTTGCCTCAGCCAAGCCAGGGTCCGCCGGGGCCGGGGCCGGGGCCGTTCCTATCTTGAGGGTCGGAGGAGGGGACTCAGCCAAATCCGCGGCCTCCCAGGGCTTGGGCCTCCGCGGGAGCCGGGACGCTGTGGGTTCGCCGTGGATCGCCGCGATGTGGCGTCTCTCTAGGCCCGGGATCTCCTGGCCCTGCTGAACCAGCTGCAGGAGCTGCGCCAGGGTAACCGAGGCAGAGGCCGGGGCCGAGCGCTGGGGACTGCTGGGACGCTCCATGTCCGGTCGCGAAGCCTGACGGGCATGCAGCGAGCACTTCCGGACGGAATGGGTGCAACTACCAAGGGGCGGGGAGGGGGGGAAAGGAAGGGGCGCCGTAGACCGTACCAAGCCTGCCCAGAACGGGGGGAGCACTTGAGAGCTCTGACCCAGCTTCCTGCAGAAACGCTTTAGACGCGTGCACGATTTAGCCAAACCCAGAGTGCCCAACGTGGAATGTGCTTTAGAAGAAAAAGTGACGGACGCGTCAAAACCTGAAGGCTAGCACAGGACGGAACGTGCCTGCGGACGCGCCGCTGCAGGCAAAAAGACCCGTACATGCATAGGCACCGCGCACACGCCCACTTTTGTGCACACCCACAGGCGCGCCTACAGGGATTCAGGTACAATGCATGGCGGGGGATAATCCCCATTCTAGGCTCCGCAGCACCGGACAAAGCATAACTGTAGAGTTGTTCCGAGGGGCCTCAGGAGTGACACCGCCACCAAGCTACGCTACTCTCTTAATAATAAATTATTATTATTATTATTATTATTATTTTGAGACGAAGTCTCACTGTCGCCCAGGCCAGAGTGCAGTGGAACGATGTCAGCGCACTGCAGCCTCATCTCAGGTCACTGCAACCGCAGCCTCCTGGATTCAAGTGATCCTCCTGCCTCAGCTTCCCTAATAGCTGGGATTACAGGTGTATGCCACCAAGCCCAGCTAATTTTTGTATTTTCAGTAGAGACGGAGTTTCACCATGTTGGCCAGGCTGGTCTCAAACTCCTGACCTCAAGTGATCCCTCAGCCTCGGCCTCCCAAAGTGCAGGGATTACAGGTGTTAGCCACCGCACCCAGCGAGAGCCACATCACTCTCTTCACACCTCCTGCCATTCTTCAATTCCTGGTGCTCCCAGAGAACATAGAAAGTGAAGGCAGGTCAGATGTGCTACAGCTGCTCTGACTGCTTGGAAAGTCAGGTTTTTAAATTATCAAAAGCGGCCAAGGAGCGCGGTGGCTCACGCCTGTAATCCCAGCACTTTGGGAGGCCAAGGTGGGTGGATCACTAGGTCAGGAGTTCCAGACCAGCCTGACTAACGTGGTGAAACCCTGTCTCTACTAAAAATACAAAAATTAGCCAGTCGTGGTGGTGCACACTTGTAATCCCAGCTACTCCGGAAGCTGCGGCAGGAGAATCTCTTGAACCCAGAAAGTGGAGGTTGCAGTGAGCCAAGATCACATCACTGCACTCCAGCCTGGGCAAGACCCCTACTCAAAAAAAACAAACAAAAAAAATATCAAAAGCTAGATTGATCTGGTGAACATCACCTTAATCAAAGAATCAAAGCTTAATGGCCAGGTTTGGTGGCTCACACTTGATGTCCCAACGCTTTGGGAAGCAGAGGTGGGCAGATCACCTGAGGCCTGGTAACAGGCGAGACTCCGTTTAAAAAAAAAAAAAGTACAAAAAATTAGCTGGGCATGGTGGTACCTACTACGTGGGAGGCTAAGACAGGAGAATCACTTGAATCCAGGAAGCAGGGAGGTTGCAGTGAACTGAGATCATACCACTGCACTCCAGCCTGGGCAACAAAGTGAGACTCTGTCTTAAAAAAAAAAAAAAATAGGACAAACTGGCCTCTTGTGCCTCCTGATGTGATGCACTGGCATTGAGAAAGACACAACATTATCTTCTGTAGTAGTCCTTCCCAAAGAATGTTCACTCACACCTAATCTTGAGGAAATAGAGACCAAAGTGAGAGACATTCTGCAAAATGATTGGTCTGACACTTTACAGATGTCATTGTCATAAAAGATAAAGAAAAAGCTAAGAATGATCTCAGATGAAAGGAGACATAAAAAATAAATACAGAGCCAGGTGCAGTGGCTCACCCCTGTAATCCCAGCACTTTGGGAGGCCGGCAGGCTGATCACCTGAGGTTAGGAATTCGAGACCAGCCTAACCAATATGATGAAATCCCTGTCTCTACTAAAAAATATAAAAATTAGACGGGCGTGGTGGCACATACCTGTAATCCCAGCTACTCGGGAGGCTGAGGCAGGAAAATCGCTTGAACCTGGGGGGCGGAGGTTGCAGTGAGCCAAGATTGCGCCATTGCACTCCAGCCTGGGCAACAGGAGCG